TTTGGAGTCCCATTTTTCAACATACTGGTTACATGGATAATGACTATTAACACTTCCTAAAATATTTTCATAAAGGCTAGTTTGATGGGAACTTTCTCAGTTTGTATTGTGGATATTGCCCAGTCCCACAAGTTGAGCCAGTGTTTCATGCTTTGTAACCTCCAAAGTAAAATCAATCTAATCTGATTTTTCAAACGTTTTTATCAGAAATTCGTATTAATCGAGCTAAGCAACGGTACAATTATAGTTGATGTTTGTAATACTAGCCCTAAGTAGATGAAGAATTTCCAAGTGATTTCTGAAATAGCAAATAAGAATTCCATAATGCTAAGAATAATTAAGTAACTGGCTTAAATGTATTTCTTTTATTTGAATTCATGCAGACACTTGGTAATTTATTTTAGTTATGTAAAAAGTATCACTGATCAGAATATTTATTAATGTAAAAATTATATATATAATAATACAATAGTTTCTCCTTATCTGTGATTTCACTTTCCACAGTCTCAATTACCTGTGGTCAAATGTAGTCTGAAAATAATAAATCAAAAATTCCAGAAATATACAATCCATAAGTTTTAAATTATCTGCCATTCTGAGTAGTGTGAGTACTCAATACTTCTTGTGATCTCTCACACTGGTAACCTCGATGGATTCTAAGTGATGAACGGGCAGGTGGCATATACATCATGGATACACTGGACAAAGGGATGATTTACATCCCGGGTGGGACTGAGTGCAACAGCATGAGATTTCATCACCCTACTCAGAAGTTTCATGTTTTCTTCCAGTATCCACGAGAGTATAACAGACTAACTTTTTAGCTTTAAGCATAATACAATCTCAGAGCTTTCGAAGTTCTGGACAAGCAGCATCACTGACTAGATATGTGACTTTGATAAAGTACTTCATCCTCAAGAGTCTCAATTTGCAATCTATGAAATGGAGCTAATGATATTGCTGACCTCAGAGAGTTGTTGAGTGGATTAAACGGGATAATGCACATAAGGTGAGCAACCCTGATACACAGCAAATTCTCATCAAAGGTTAGCTATCATTGCTGTCGTTAATTTTACCATCAGAAAATAAGGTGATATAGTCTAAAATTAAGAAGACATCTAGAGGACAAAATGTTTTGTCAAACTTGCCTTAATTATAAGTAAGATCAATTTTTGTATTCTTGGGCCCACAATTTATTTTAAGTTATAAAAATCACAGCCGGGAAGAACTGTAGTTATATAAATCTTATGTTTGCATTGTAGCATGATGAAGTAGAAGAATTGGATCTTAGTTCATCGATGCCACAATAAAATGAGTGGCAAATATTATCGCACTTGTCAACCCATGGTATCCCCATATATCCATTTTGAAACAAATTCCTTATGTGTTATATAAAATGGTGACCTCAAGTCTCCAGTTTAACTATGGATTCTATAGAAACAACCACTTTTCTGTTAAAGCTACAGACATTAATATCTTTCAAACTCAGGGAAAATGCTTCGTATTTTTTTAATACTTTAAAGATATGAAATGATATGAAAGTTTATGTTAGCATCCCTTCTATTTGGATATATGTATTTGAGTAAAATTAATTTATACAATTTAAAAACAAGGGCTGCACTAATGGAATACATGTAACAATATATTGAATAATAAATTATCATTTCTACATATTTTTCTTTCTGTTAAAATTTATAATTCATACTACAAGGAAAAATAAACTTGGAAAATACACTCAAGAAGATAAAAATGTAATCCATCTTATAAAGAGCATCCATCTTATTCTCTTAGAGAAAGTAACAATTAAACCTGGTAAGAATGGCTAATTTAAATTCTTTGACTATTTAATCTAATATTATCTCCCATTGATATTTCTTTTACTTTCTACCACAGTCCCCTACTTTATTTTCTTTACAACACTTATCATTATCTTGTTCATTTATGTGTTTACTTGTTTATTATCTGCTTCCCACTATTTGATATAAAGCTAAATATTAAGCTTTGTTCTCTTCACTGCATCATTCCCAGCACTTAGAACAGCACCTGGCCCAGACAAGGCATTCACTTTTTATTGACTGGACAAAGAATAAATCAAGGAATTAATTTTAAAAAAGAGAGAGTATGGATTTTACAAAAAAAAAATTGGCAAAAATTCTAGGAGGATGAAAAAAATACACATGAGTATTTTGCCCTTATATTATAAAAGTTTATTTTTATTGAATCAGTAATATTCTTTCGTTTTACAAACATTTTCAGTAAGTATTGAGATATGTGTAAGTATCTCAGATGGCATTTATTTAACTACTTCTTTGGCCCACAAGATTCCACAATAAAAGCCAATAAGATATCTGACATTAGTGGGGTTTTCAACAGCTTCTGGGAGAAAAAAAGTCAAAGAATAAATGGAGATAGATTGTTTTGGGAAATGCTGGGGGTTTTTTTGTTTTTTTTTTGTTTTTTTTTTGATAGAAAGTATCTGAGCTTACACCAAAGTTGTCCAAGATATTTATGTTTTATTTAAATATAGCAAATCTTCATAGCCTTGTAATTCAAACTATACAAATTTATCCCAAGACTCAAAATTTCTACCAAGCTTACAAAATCATTTGTCAAACTAAGCATTTCTTCTCAGTCTTCAGGTTGGATGGCAGAGAATCTAGCTAAATAAGTGAATACAGATATAATTTAATTTTTCTAATTCTAAGAATCACAAGTTGTCATTTACTAAACCTAAGTTTCTGTTTTGACACATTAATCTTGTAATGTGTATTATTATTCTCTTCAAAGGAAAAAAACAATCAACAAAAAGACAGTAAGTTGTTACTTTTATAGAAATATCAAAGTAACAAATATATTTCAGGTGTAAAACCTGCGAAATGTTGTATCCCCTTTACCCTGCCACAAAGCAGCATTGTGAGATGTGCCTGGCGGTCAGGTGGCTATTAGAGTTGATCTCTGTTGTGGTGGAATGCAAAGAACCTCTAATGTTACTGATAAAACACTGTTCTCAGAGTTAGGATTATTAGCCGGAACATTCAGTCATAGCACAGGAACTGACACTTTTAAAAAGGAAATGTAATATATTACATATTGTCCCTCTTGAAAGTGTCTGGGTCAAAAAGAATAATCCGAGTGTATCTACTTAGAGAGAATGTGCAAGTCCGTTGTCCTTCTAAAACTATCAAGTCCCTATCATCTGCTGTCACATTATAGAGAAAAGTACGCAGACAGGCTCTGTCACATCCAATTTAAAGCAAAAATCTTAACTTTAATTAGATACTCCTCAGGAATTTTAAATCATGGTGGATTTATATCGCCTTAATCAGTAAACTACAAAAAAGAAAAAAAAACAGGAATATTTTTCATCTTAGCATTTCATTTACAGTTCATAGAGAATGTGCTTTTTATCATGAAAGTTTTTCTTTAAAGTAAAGCTGTGTTGAATGAATAATCTTCCCACGTTCCCCTCATTCCCTCTAAAAGAGTGGAGAGATCGCCATTCATTACCATTTATGTTGTAAATAATTTTAGTCCATCTTTCTGCTTTTATTTTCTCTTCTTCTCTCTCAATCATTCTGCACTCCACCACCAGACTGATCCTTCTAAAATATCACTTCATTCACATTATTCTTTGACTCGAAAGCATTTCTTGCCTCTTACACCTTCAGGATTTTATCCAAACTCCTTCACCTCCCATTCAAAGACTTTTTATTTTATCACCTTTCACTTTCCGCATCTCTTCTGTCACTATTACCTGCCAATAAACGCTCCAGGAGTGATCCATTTAGGTTCTCCACATCCTTTTTCTGAAGACTGGGCTTTTTTTTTTGCCCCCATGAAATTTCTGGTTGCAGAAATATCCTCCTCTCACACTTTAACATTTCTCCTTCAGGGTCTAGACAGATACCACCTCCTGCACAAGGAGTTCTCTGAGTGTACCCACATAAACATATCTCCCTTCCTGTGTATTTCCATTACATGGGCATTCTACATTAATCATATATTTCTTTGGGACAGCTTTAAACTTGTTAATTAAATTCTGCAATGCTTTTAAAATTTTTGTGTGCTTATATCATCTCTAAAGGTAGATTATGAACTCCCTGAAGGCAAGAGCCATTTTCTAAAATTCCTTTTATCTCCTATGATAGCTAGCGCAGTGTCCTTCATATAACAAGCATATCATTAATGCCCCTTAAATAATGTATTTCTAAAAGATTCAAAAAGTAAGCAAACTTTATATATGAAAAAACTCGGGCCCAGAATCATTAGTTAACATGCTTAAAGATGACTGGCAGCCAAAGATCTGGTTTGCTTGATTATTAGATTTATTTTCTACCTATGCCAAAGTTATATTCTTTTGTTATTTGATTGGTTATTCCTAAACCAAATAATTTATGAAATGCATTGATTTTAATGAATAATATGCATATACATTTTCATGCCTATAACTTCATATATGTATTTATAAATAAAAATAGATATAAGTAATTTCAATTTCTCTGGAGATACTGATATTTCAAGTGTAATTCTAGAAACTCCATTTCAATAATTTGTAAAGCAAAAAACAAAATGCAAGAATTGTGATGACAATAGGGACATCATTTAATGTACTTTGAGTGATGTGACCAATAATTCTAATGAGAACCAAATATTACAAGTCTCCAATGTCCTGTTAAATCTTACATTCTACCTTATAGCTCTGTAAACATGTCATTGTAAATCGACATTTTCTCAGAAGATGGATAATAGCTCAACTTAATTCCTATAATATTTAAAATGTAGTGGACAATTGCAAGTTCAATTTTATAATGAAGACTTTAATTCACTGGTATGTGAAAAACATGGAGAAATAACATTACTGAAGAAATAAAATTAACAAATATTTTTAAACCAAGAAGAACGTAGGTTCTGGTTAAAGCCAGTCTGACACACTGGATTTATCCTTTTAAAGTTCTTTATTACTGAGCAATTTGATGTTAATGTCACACAGTGTCACTTACCATCTTTCAGAATGGTTTCTCGCTCTGTGCCATCTATCTTCTGCCGGCCAATTAGGAAACTGGTGGTGTCAGCAAAGTAGATATAATTGGTTTCTGCGTGAAAATCTAAAGCACGAGGGTTTACCAGATTTTCTATGGGGATCATGTATTCATCAGCTATCTTGGTATTCAAGTCCATTCCTCTAACAATTCCTGGGCGTCCTTTCCCGTAAAAGAGGAACAACTCATTCTTCGGTCCTGCAGAAGAAAGATTACAAACATAAACAACTGATGCTGTCTAATCTTCTCTACACTGCATAATGCCACTGTTTAATTAACTGGCACAATTAGTGTTTTTTAAATTCAATACTAAAAATTAAACTCTAAAATACACCAAATGTATCTCAATGCAAGAAGCCCAGCTAATTGCATTACTTTAATTAAAACAGAAATTACTTCCATGAATGGGTTATATTTAGTTAATTATTCTTTTGTCTGTAACTGTCTGTATAGCAAAAACATGACAAATCATTGGATAAATTATAACTTGTAAAATGGGCATTTATTAAAACATCTGACACATTTAATTTTATAATTTATTACAATCTCAGCACTTTTTGTAGATACTAACTGTAGCATTCAGTATATTTGACAATGCTAAAAACTTCAGAACATCTAAGACATACCACCCCAGAGTCTGTATCTATAAACTGTCAGAGGCAAACACAAAGAATCATACAGTATCACCAACTTGTATATGAGTATACTATAATTACCCAAACATGTACCTTATTCTTTTAAGAATGAAATCAAATGCCATTTATAGCATCACTTATTTTTCCAAATCTTAATTTGAAAGCTAGAGGTTGATGCTATCTCCCAATAACTCTGATGTTCAACACATGCCTTATCAAAAACAAAACAAAACAAAAAACAAAAAAACACAAACAAAAAAACTGTCTCCTGAGTTTAAATGTCAGAATCGCGTAGTTTTTCTGCAAAGTGAATTAATTGTTTCAGACTTCTATATGAAAATATAAACAAGACTCTTCAATTATTAGAGCATCTTATGTTTGGTTTATTTTGTATAATTTTAAAGGAAATACTTACTTTCTATAAAAGGGAAAATATACTGAGCTTTATTAATAAAACTGAGGATACAAAAGACTCCGCAGTACTTGTATAACAATACAATAATTGAGATTCTTAGTAAGTAAAATAATTACATTATAGAAAATTTGGAAAACAATAAAGAAAAAATAAGCAATTACTCATAAACCTAATACCCTCAATACAAACTATATTGACATTTTATGTATTTCCTTTCTTTTGTTTTTCTTTTAGAATTACTGTTATTGAATGTTGAATATATATAAAAGAATATTTATAACATATGTCAATATACAAAGTAAAATCAGGTCCCAGGTACTTAGCACAGATCTTAAGAGTATTTCCAGTACATTGGAAGATATGCCCCAAACCCACTGCCTTCCAACTCAGAAATATCCAATATCCTGATTGTTGTATTTATTGTATATTTTTAAAAAGAATTTCAGCATACAGATCGTGTATTTCCCAATAGCATACTGTTTAATTGTACGTGTCTGAATTACATGTGTGAATTCTGGATTAATTTTATTCTTATTATATTCTTGATATTCATCCATTATTGTTGCAGTCATAGTTCATTCATTTTCATTGTTGTATAGTATTCTTTTGACTATTCCAAATTTATCTAGCTATTTTTCTAGTGTATATTAGCCTATATCAAAGAGGGCGCTTAATTTTATATTCCATTATCGGTTAATTATAGCATTGATATTATTTTCTACATTGATCCATTAATTATTTTAAGCATTTAATTGTTGCTGTTTGATATATGATAATTTACTAAGTCATTTTCCAGTGGTTTCATGTTTTCAACATTATAATAATACTGAGACAAGCATATTTTTTCAAGCTAGCATTTCACACATTTTCTTAGATGAAATTACAGGTTAAAGTATACTAAGATCCTTTTCCTTATTGCCCCATATAGACTCTCAGTATCTACTTCATTTCCAAGATATTTTCTTTTAAAATAATATTTTATATGATTTAAAAGTAATGCTGATTCATTTGAAAATTGTTAGAATTTCTTAGTATTTTCTATCAACATTAGATGCATATATATTTTTGTGTTTTTCAAAAATTTGGATCTTAACATATGTATTTTTTAAATTTAATGGTTTTTTTGTTAAGTTATTAAAAAATCATCAAAAATATTCTTTTTAATGGCAGCATATTCCCTACTAGAGGGGCAATATAATATATTCAGCTACTTACCTATTTTTGAATATTTATATTGTTTTTGAGTTTTTTTTATTATAAGTACATTTACAATTAATTTCCTTAATCAAAAGTAGGATAACTTGTCAAACAATATTATCAGTTTTGTGTCCATGATATGTATTACCAAATGTATTTCCAATAGTGATATAAATTTCCAATTTATTAACAATGCATAAAAATGCAGGTTTTACAATACTCATTCTTGCTAACATTTATTTTTGTTTTTATTTCTATTGGATGTTTTAGTTGGTAATTGGTAAACTTTCTACTTCATTGATTTAATATGTATGTGTGTTTGTGTGTGTGTGTGTGTGTGTGTGTGTGTGTATGTATGAATGTATGTTTTCAATAAAAGTGCTATTTCTCCCATTGTTTTCTTTAGCTATTTGGTGGCGGGGCATTCTTCCATACCTACTTTAAAGTTTCTTCTAAGCCTGGGCAACATAGCAAGACCCTGTCTCTACAAAAAAAATTAAAACATTAACCAGGCATGGTGGCACACACCTGTAGTCCTAGCTGCTCAGGAGACTGAGCCAGGAGGATTGCTTGAGTCTGAGAGTTGGAGGTTGTAGTGAGTTGTGATCACACTGCACACCAGCCTGGCGACAGAGCAAGACTCTGTCTCAAAAAAAGAAAAAACAAGCAAAAACCACACAAACAAACAAAAAACAACAATAAAAAAGAAATTTCTTCTAGTGTCTTCTTGTACTACAGACAGTCGAAAGTATGAATGACATTTCACAAACACTCATACAGCCAAGGTTTCTGGTTTTCATTTAGTACCTAAAATCAGATATACTAGCTCAAGTTTGGAATATGGAAGTGAAGCAAGGGTCCTCTTTTTGCAGCTTCTGCTGGTATACATCTAATGGAAAAATTGAATTTCTTCACAGCAGTCTTCTTTCATTCACACTTGTGAATATCGAGAGGCAAGGAACAGTGGTTCTATCTCTCCCTCCCTATCTCTTTCTCTCTCTCTCTCTCTCTCTCTGCGCGCACTTTTTTTTTTTTTTTTTTGCCAGTTAAAGTCTATCAAATATGACATAATTCCGGAGCTACTAGCTGTAGTGTAAGCTTACTAATCCCTGAATCTCAGCTAAAATGGTGTTTTTGAAGTTAATATTTCCATTTGTGGCTTCTTGATGCCCTAGCTTCTGATTGTGGCAGATGTTCCAGCTTTCAGCCAGGCTACTTTGATGGTGGTTTGGGGGAATGTTCCAAAAGCTCAGTCTAGAAGTTACTGTTCCAGGCTTTTCAATGATTTTGTAAGCATCTATTTGCATTAAATCCCTTTCTGCATAAAATAGCTAGAATTGTTTCTGATTGCTATAAATGCACCCTAATGATGCAATACATTAGGGATTGCACTGAATCATATGCAATTCTGATCTTATGTTTTTCCTCAAACATGTGTACACATGTATGCACATATGCATGTATGTGTATGTGTGATTATGCTTTTGTATGACTTACCATCACTTCCCAAGTGGCACTTAGATTAGTTTAAAAACCACACACTCATGCACACACACATGCACCCACATCCAAAACTGCTCTTATCCGGAGGCTTTAAACTCAGTGTCCTGAATTATCCAGAAGCCCTTGACAATATGAGACCTGTTATCTTTACATTCCCAGTATTTCATGAAAAATAAGAAATACAAATAAAAAATGCAAGCAGAATACTAAAATGAATATATTTTATCATAATGGAGCCTATTAGGTTCTTAATTTAAAACTACTTATACTATCATTAAACATTTCAACTTAAAATTCTAGCAAATTTAGGGGTGTCATTTCACAGTTCTCTGCAATCACATAGCAAGAAAGTGGAGTAGATGGCAAGATTGTGAGCAGAGAGGGAAAAATGACAGAAGTAAAAAGCTGTCACTGTGACAAAGGTAAAGACAAACTGGATACTGCAAAAAGCAGTCATCATAATTTTTAAAATAATGGCATTTGGGGAACATTTAAAGACCAACAGTCTCCACATAGACACTATCTACCAGGGCTATCCAACTATATCCGATTATCAAAACTCCAAGCAAAGAACTTAACTAACTTTTGTGCAAAATATTAAATTACAAATGTCATTTTAAAATCATTATCAGCATATTTAAATAAAGAACAATTAAATTATTCTGGTATGTTTAAAAATATAACAAAGATATGTCTAACAGATTAGAAAATTGATGAAATTGTTAAAGTTTTGATATTTAATTAGTATAGCTTCAGTTATCTGAAATATTAAATTATGAAGTTAATGATTATCCCAATCATTCTGGATAAAGTGAAGCTTTACTATATGTGGATTTCTGTTGGTCCAAACAACACACCTGTTACTAGGAGCAGCATCTTGGTTCAGATTAGAGAAAATCTGGTCAACTGATGATTCTAGCTGATTAGCCCAAACATATTCTTTAGGGTACTAAGGAAAACATCTTCCTAAAAATCTTCCCTAAAGTATGTTTCTCTAAGATTAATCAATTCGGTGACTTTACAGCCTGATTAACTTCCCACTCACATTCTTGCATAAGAAAACTAAATACTGATTTTGAGAAAAATGGCCAGTATATATTTTTAGACAAATTTCACCTGATTAAGTCTCCTGGCATTACTGATATTCATGCTGCTAATTAATACTAAAAATCCCATTCTGAAGTGGTAGCTGCTGGCTACAAAAATCAAATGTTGGATTTTCACAACATACTTTTGCATGATCTGCCATCACTTCCCAAATTGAAGCCAGTCCTGCAGCGACAGGTCCGTGTTTTGTAACTGCTGCTGAGCAGACAGATGTGTGAACATCCCCCTGGCATTCCATATGTATCCACTTCGCAGGCATTGCTTCTGACTACAACAAATAAAAAACAGCATGCGTGAAATTCTCAAAGACAAGATAATTATGTGCATCAGCATGTCAAAACTTTTACAGTGTAAGAACAGGATTCTTAGCAAAATTTTGTATACCCAACTATTTAGTACCATAATCAAATGGAAATGAGTTTAAACCCCATACAAGAAGAGATAGGTATACTGGTAGTAATACTCACTGGGTGCTGGTCAGGTGGGGGGCTGGGGAGATGGGGGGTAGAAGGGAGTGGGGAGGTAAACCCACAGCTAATGGAAACGGGGCACACTGTATGGGGGAAGGACATGCTTGTAGCCCTGGCTTGAGTGAGGCAAATGCATTTCATGTAACCAAAATGTTTGTACTCCCATAATATCCTGAATTAAAAAAAAAAAAGAAAAAAATTAATAAATAACTAACTAAGTAAGAAGAGATAGGGACTGATGAAAATCCTAAGGCTGCATTTTAAGGAACAATTCTGAGAAATACAATGTGTTTCTATTAATTTAAACTGTTCACATGTAAGCAAAATAAAAATAACATGATTTTTTGGTACATATTTCTTGTACTTTTATTAATAATGCTTTTTCAAAAAATATAAAAAAGATACATAAAAATTATCCTGGCATAGGTAGTTAAGCAGAGAAAGGATTTCCTTTGGCACAATGTGTCATATTGGCATCTGAACTAGAAGAAATGGGATTTAGCGATTATCTGTACTGGGTTGAGAAGCAGTGAGGCAAATCATTTTTAAAAAATTTTAAGTGTACTGCCATTTTGAGAACCTACCACAAAGTAAAATGTGTGTGGAGACATGTGACTGTAATTGCCAAAAAGTGGAGGCTTAGTCTATGCATAGAAAATGAAGAGTAGAAGGATATTGTGAGTGTAAGAGTTAGGAAGGAAAAAAATGGGAGAAGTACCAAATGGAGAAGATGAGAAAAAAAAAAAGATGAGTCAACAAGAAAAGGAATAATATGTATAAAGTCAGTAAGATTTTATGCATTATTATAATTATATTTATTTTAGATCACCACTTAGTTGAAATTGTGATTAATACCATGGCAATTTTCTTTTAATAATAAAATTGCTACGCTTTTAAAGATTTTGCCCTGTTCTTTTTGTATTCCTCATTTTCTAAGTGGAAAGATGAGTGAAATTCAGTTTTAACTATTTTTTCCCTGCCACGAATGTAGCTTTTATTTTCCAACCTTGCCTCTTCTTTCATCTCCTTTAATCAGCAACTCTCCACTTTCTCTTTCCTCATCGCGTTTGCCCTTCATTGGATGGTGCCCATCAACATATGAAAATGTCATTATTTTTTATATCTTAAAAAAACCTTCTTTACCCAAATTCCCACAGAAATCTTTCAACTAGCTCCCCCTTTCTCTGGCTCACCTTGTATCCACACTTCTCAAAGTCATCTATGATCGCTTTCTACAATTCTTTCCCTTCCTGTCTCTCTCAAACCCATTCTACCCAGATATTCACTTCACCCTGAAACTGCCCTTGTCAGATCCCAAAGAGCTTCATGCTGCTGAATTTAATGATCAATTGGATTTAACAAGCTTCTTCTCAGTATCCTCTTTTCGTTACTCGTACTCTCCTTGACTTATTGCTGGAGTGTACCAATGTCCATTATATGGAATTCTTGTCCTCTCCACTTATATTTACATCCATCACCAGGGCTTTAAATGCCGTCTATATGCCCATGACTCCCAAATTGATATCCCCAACTTGGACTTCCTCCTTGAACTCTAGATTTGTATATTTAAATACCTTTTTGACATTTCCATTTGAATTTATAACAAACATCTAAAGAAATCTATGCAAATTAAACTTGTTATCTTTGCCCCAAATCTGTTCCATAGCTAATTTCTTCAATCTCAAAAATAACTCAATTTTTCCAATTGCTCCAGCCAAACCAGTGTCATCCTTGACTTCCTTTTTATTTATATTCCACATCCCATCCATCAGAAAATCCTATTGGCTCTAACTTTGTAAAAACCCTGAATTTGATGAATTCTCACCACTCTCACTACTACCATCTTGGTCTAATATACCATCTTCTCTAACCTCCACCCTCCTCTCCCCACAGTTTATTGTCAACATAATAGCCAGATTCATTCTTTAAAAATGTCAGTCAGATCACGAGACTTCGAGACTTCTCTGTTTAATGCTTTCTAAGGATGCTCCACCTCATTAAAAATATAAGCATAAGCTTTTACAACAGTGTGACAAGGCCCTACTTGTTATAGCCCTCCTTCATTTCTCCAACCTCATTTCTCTTTCCCTTGTTCATTCTGCTCCAGAAACACAGGTCTCCTTGCCGCTCCTTGAACAATCTAGGCATGCTGTTTCCTCATGGCCTTTGTGCTTGCTCATCCCTCTACCTGCCATGGTTTTGCTCTATATATCCTCATGTCTCTCTCCTTCGATTACTTCAAGTCTTCATTCAATGCTATCTTTTCAGTGGGATTTCCTCTGACTATTCAACACAAAATTGCAAATTCCTCCCATCCTTGACACTCTTTATGCTCATTACGTTCTTTGTTTTTTCCAAAATATTTACTACCTTCTAATATAATACATAATTTACTAAGTTATTTTTTAACATATCCTCTCCACTAGGATGTAAATCTTATAAAGGCAAGAATATGTTCTCTGTTTTATTCACTGCTGTACTCCCAGCACACATAGAATAGTTCCTGGCACATAGTAGATGGTCCATGAATAATTAATAAATGAATAAATCCTAATATTAAACTCAAATAAGGTTATCTACACAATTCAAAATTTGAATTTGCTGTAAACATATCTGTGATGACACGCTGCCTCAGTTGGATGTATGTTAATGTTTAGATAATTCTAGATTAGTTTTAATTTGAAGCATATGTACCAAAAATGGTGATAAAAATTTTGGTTGGTGGTTTTTTTTATATTACATTATTCCACATATGATTGAACCTAAATCGTATTGATGAACAGCATCACTAACCTCCCATAAAAATAACTAATTTGTGTTTTAGAAAAACACTTTGAAACATTGCAGCCTTCTTATTAAAAATTATTTTTTAATTAACGAGTGTTAAAGAACAATTGGGATGCTAAGTCAAGAGTCCAATGACTACAATAAACACTGGGCAGATATTGCAAGGCAGTCACTTGATTTGAAATTTGTCCTCAAAATGATACCAAAAAAAAAAAAACCTTTAGCATCTGGGCTTCCTGTCTACATACATCACAATTGAACACTTCTTCCTGAATCCAAATCTAGCCATCATTTCAATTCTATGGTTGTAGAAACGATTCGCTAGGAACTGAACAATTTGTCATTTAGACTTGTGAGGGGAGCTCTATTCCATTTAACAAGCAGACATGTACACTTTTGCTGTCAAAACAGAGAATTTATGATTCACTCACTTTAACACCATACAAAAGCACAAGGACTATAGCCCCATTCAATCTACCATCATGAAGGTTATAAAGAAGTCTTGCAACTTACCTGTTGGTTGAGTTCTTTTTTGATAAATTCGAATTCCTCTAGCATTTTCCATTTTAATTAATGAATGAATATCAGTGCCATTAAATCGGTTTATCTTTATGACATTGAAGTTATCAGAACTGGTTGCATACAAATAGTCTTCAAACACGGTTATACCATAAAGATGTCTGATCTATAAAGAGGGTCAAAATAACTATGATTTTTAATTATACGGCTTTCAACTTGAAAGAAAAACTGATTGCTATTTACTGGTGTGGAAAACGGCAATAGTAGGAGAGTCACAAGAATATTATCATTTACTTTCTCTCAAAGAATTCCACATTTCATTAATTTAAATTTTTTTTCTGGAGAAGAAAGCAGTGTGCAATAATGGATAAAACAGTTCCAAATGTGTGGGAGAGAAATTTATCCATGTTTCATTAAGAAAACATGTTTAGTAGTTATTTTTCAAAGACAAGTGAGAAACAGACTTTCAACCATATTTTTAATAATATGCTGTTACATATAATTTGAGATATTTTTATGGACTACTTGTTCACATAGTCATGGATATGTAGAAGCTGCAAAAGTATAGCTCTGCCTATGAGAAAAACTAATGAAAAAGCACCTCTGAAAATTTGTTTTATAAATTCAAACACCAATTTTTTGCCTAAAGTTACGTTTACACTAATACTTGCTCTGGTGTAGAAAATAATATATAAAAAATCACGCATTTGCAATCATTGTAAGTAAAATGTCAACATTTCACTCAGAAATTGCATTATTTCCAAAGCCAATTTATGGAAAATGGAGCTGTTTGCTCTGAGAATGATGATGTTTATTGCTCTCAATACACTTAAATTAACAGTCTCACTCTCCTCCGTGGCAAAGTTCTTAGAGACTGTGGAGAGGAATGGAGATCTTAGAGTCATGGAAAGCTTCCAGCAGAGCAGAAGGAAGAATGAGTACACTGATTTTCTGATAAAAAGGCACATACTAGGCACGTTGCCTTTGGGTATTCCTTCACTTAATTTAAAATGGTTCTGGTCCGGGGTATGGTGGAGTTGTCAATTGTTTTGCTGTAGAGGTTTTGATGAAAAAGCATTTGTCATTATTCTTTGAAATTATATTGTGCACTTTTAGCATATATATATTTACGGTTAAGAGAATTTGATAAAGTATGTGGTAAAAATTCTTATAGAATGAAATCACAAAATTTTCAATTTTAATTAGGAAATTTTGCCAATTCTGTAGTTTAAGCAAAAGCATTTGATTTATTATCTTCCTAGCATATATGACTCATTACATCTATTTCTAATCCACTCATATGAGATGTGAGTAAAAGAAGGTTGGCTTTTACATGTTGTTTTTGAGTCATATCTCATTTCTTCATGTCTAGACTGGAAATAAAAGATAGGAATTAATGGAAAGAATTATTCCATGTTAAAGCCCAAATAATCTTTTTTTATATATGTGTTACTCCAAAGCAACCAGGTGTGGGTGTGAGCATGCACATGCGTGTGCACATTCATGTGTGGGTGTGGCCATGTGTGTATTTCCTAATAGCATTTTCCACATAGTTCCATAAATATACCTATGGCCCAATCTTGACTTGGGGAATACTTTTCTTCTACAAGCAAGCTGAACTCTTCCATTGCCATTAATCTTATGCATGTCTCATGTAATGTTTGGGGCCTTCCATTTGAAGTCTCTGGTTATAGCACATGAACATTGTTGTCTATATTAGTGCCAATTCACATCGCGGGAGAAAAATCAAGGAATTGGTCAGAGTAGAAAATACGTTTACACAGGAAAGAAAAAATTTCACTCACAACCTCCCTATCTTCCTTCAAATAGGTCTGTTTCTCATAAAATAAGCACCTCCACTAACTACCCCCTGCAGAGGTAGGGGAAGCTTGGAGTGGTAGGTAAACCATTCTGCCAACAGCCCGAACACTTCAAAACTGTATCTACTTTGGATTATTTAGCAGAAGATTTACCATATGTTTAGGGAACCAGCAAAACACAGGCAAGAGAAATGAAGAAAAAAAGAATAATTAAAAACTTCAGACATTAAAAAACTTTTTAAAGTAGTCATGGGGAAAATCATTTGAATTCCTTACCTTTGTTACCAAGGTTTAATTTTTAAAATTTGAAATACTGTAAAAGAAAGTCCACCATCTTGGAGATCAGGCCCTCTAAAGGTCATAACTAAGGCCTGACAAAGAAATCAAGCTTTATAGGACAGTTGAAGGTGATAGAGAAATAACTGGCTTCACTTTTATTTAACACTGGATAGTCTACTTTTTTTAACCACTCAGATTAGTGCATCTGTTTATCTCTCAAGGAGAAAGGATTTCATTTTAAAAGCTGATTAGAAAAGAAAAGTAACTTTAAGAGATAATTACAAATATACCTGTCTTGCATTGAAAAAGAAACAAAAGAGATTCATATATTTCAGCTCCATAGACTAAGAATCCCACATGAAATTAGTGCAATCAATGAACAAGGCTTATTTCTACTTAAAGATCTCTTTTAGACATTCACTGAATGTTTCTTGAAAAACCTTGTAATTCAGCAAGGTAAAAACTAACACGAGTGGGAAGAATTTTGACTTTGTTGACTCACAGAATTCTCATTTTGGGAAATACTTGAATACATCAGAAGGCAAAATTTAATGGAACCTATTAAAATAATAAAGATACTTTTGTGAACAAGTATTTGCTTCGGTCAGCAAAAAATTTCCACTGCCACATGAGACCAGTGATAATTCAGCTCCTTAAGAATAAGCTACTTATATTAGCTTTTAGTAAGTGGGTCATAACATCTGTCCTATTTTAATAGTTTTCTTTCTTGCTAGTATAGCATTTTTGTCTTTGTTATTTTTGTTTGTTTACTCTGTTTTTAACAGAGGGAGAGGGAGCAAGAGACATAATAGCACTGTGAAAAAAACATTCTCCAATATAGGAAATATACTGTAATTTTTATAACCCATTGCAGCTTGACTTCATGAGAAATTTTCAACATTGCAAATTTGGGTCTTCTTCATCATAGTACGCCCTTCATTTTTTACCTTAGCTGCATTTTCTAACAAAATTGTACTTACTCGTCTGCCTTGAATGATAGTATGTCTATTTTTTCCTTGATAGTCCACTACTCCCACGTAGTCCAAGTAAAGATCTACCCAGTAAACCAATTTGTTGACTAGGTCTAGTGCCAGTGCAGCTGGCTGCTCTGTCTTTGAATCAATTATCCTTGTTCTGTTCATCCCATCCATGTCACATCTCTCCACTTTGGCGACATTCCCGTAGTCAGTAAAGAAAAGTTTCCTGTTGAAAGAAAACTAAATGTTAAAGTGAAGGGGGGAAAAAGCATATTTGATGGAGCCATCTGTAAAAAACAGAACTTTTCCTTCTAATTTATTTCAGTGATTACATCTGTTAGCTTCCCATAACCATTTCCATATAATATCACTCATAAACAGAGAAATCTGCTAATGAATGTTGCAGGGCATAAGGGAGCAGGTTAACCAACAACTGTAAAATTTCCCCAAAATGAATGATTATGGTGGGTTTATTTTTGTATTAGGAGAAATGTTTCTTTAAGCCTCATAGAGCCAACGCACAACCACCACATTCGGTGTAAGCTTCAGAAGTGAGCCAAGTCACCAGGCCAGGACATGTGAGCTGTCAGGCTTTATCTTCAACCTACTTTTCAAATTGCCTGGTGATGTTTGTCTCTTATAAAAGCTATTATGTGGAGCTCAATCACGCTATAAGTAGCAGAGAATACCAAACCTGGAATGGAATTAAGCAGATGGAAAAGCAAATGTGCTATTTGTAGCAATGGAAATAAAACATAAATAATCCCACACCCAAACCTATCCCAAATCTCCCAAATATTCCCAAATAACAAAATTTCATAAAGGAAAAGCAGGTCATTTCTCCTCATTTTCTCTTAATATTTACTTTGAAGAAAGGCTGAAAAAGAATGTTGACCTCTGAGACAAAAAAATCCTTCCATGCAGCATTAACAGTGTCTGTCAAAGGTTTAAATGTACCTCCAACATTTTAGTGCCTAATATTTGATTAGTATTCACTATGTTTAGTAAACTCAAATCGATTTCAATTAACCTGACAATATTTAGCAAGATTGCCCACTCATGAGACTAAATTACATTTGTAAATAGAAGACCATCTTGCCTTGACTTAAATACA